AATAAATAAGATATCATCACCGTGGGGAGGGGGGTGATGATAACTTCCTCAATGGCTCAAGGGGGCGTTTCTTTCAAAAAGGTTAAGAACCACTGCTATAAACCACCCAGAGCAGTGACTTCCCATTAGATGGGTGGCATATAAATGTACCCAATAAATAATAAAATAAAATAAAATACAAAAATAACGAATGCCACAAAATTCTACACATAGCACTGCAGCTGCCTTCTAAGCCTTGTTTAGAAATTAAAGTCTTACTCTTACTTTTAACAAGTAGTAGGATAAAGAGTGTATGAGTTTTGTAAAAGAAATAAGTAAAAGCGTAACAAATAAACACAAATTCAGCCAGAAATTTAGCACAGCAAATTATTATTTTTTCAGTTTCTTAAAAATTCCCCAAGACTGAACCTGGTGTACATCCTTCGACTGTCATTCCACTCATGTGGACCTGTCACCGTTTTGCATTATAGTCATAAGGAAGTGAGAGCATCTGTCCAAGGGAAAGGGTGGAGCGAATCATCAGTATAATTGCTTCCTTTCCCCTCCTGTGCTCTAGACATATGCCTCCCACATGAACCACAATACATTGGTCCTATCCCCTTAGTAACGAGATTACTGAAAAATGTGCGCATTCTTAGCCATCCTGAGACTCCCCGCTGAGATGTCCCCTGTGCTTGTAAGATATTGCAGCTTCCCCTTAAAATGAGTCCCTAGCCTCACCCTTCCAATATTCCAACCCCCTCTTTATTCCTACCATTTATTTGTGCAGGGAACTGCCAAATTTGCACTAGTAATAGTCAATATGCATTGGTTGAAGTAGGAAATCATGCATGGGAAAGATGCTAATCTGTAGAGGAATTGTCATGATTCTGTGCCGGAATTGTAACATTTCCATAAATCTGATTGGCTTGGCCATGATTTACAGTCATTTCATTCTTTTTGCCTTAGTTCTGGTGTAGGAAAAAGGGCTGATGCAACTAGAGTAGAGATGGCCAACTTCAAAACATCTCCGGAGCATTAACAGCTTCTGGGCATGTCCAAAGCATTAGAATGCACGCACTCTTTATCTTATTGGCTTAGTGGGGATTTGAACAAGGATTTTCCATTGGTCTATGTCCAATGCTGTTAACACTGCACTACACGTAGTACATCTTACACTGCTGCTTGAAATATCTTAGCAATTGTGATACCTTATTCAGAATACAATTTTACTAACATGTTGCACCTTATCTTACAGTGGGTCCACTGTCTTTTCAGAGCCATTCTGGATAAACAGTGATGTGCAATCTAAAATAAATAATTGAGTCAACATACGAAGTCTGCTTCACTCCTCAAGCTCCTATAGCCACAGGTAGTCCAAAATACCATTTAGTCAGAACGCTGTTGTTTCTTGGCTAACCTGGAACAAACCTGGCTCAGCAGCAGCCAACAGAGTACAAATAAGAAATACATATTGGACATTCCGTCTAAATGACTACCATATGCTCAGCACATGAAGTTCTAAGGTTTCGGCCAAACTCCCAGATTCTTCACCGGGGTTACAGGTACTGCCGAACACTTGCTTCCATGACTTGAAAAAACTTAATGTCCTCTTTTTTAAAAATATCAGTTGCAATCTCATGACTAAGAATTTCCCAAGCACTGATGTCTTCCTATAAACAACTCTGTCCCTTCAAGTACAGTATAAAGGAAACACTTCCCTGTTAAAATGTTTCATTCTCAGACTGACAGTGGATCACAAATGATTAACATGTGCATGTGCAAGTGGGTGAAGCCATACTGTATAAGGGCATCCTTGCAAGGCCTGATGCTGCCACTCTCAGATGTGATGTGATGTGTAAGCATTATGACTTCTGTGCATGTCCAGAGTGTTAGAAGAGAGTCACAACCAAGATGTTTCAAGGACTGCTTCTGACAGTTCCCCAAGTGAGACAATGGAAGGTGAATATTATCATAGTTGGTATGGGCTTTCATGATTTATAACCTGTGCTTTCTAGGGCAGCTGGAAGCCACAACGGAACATACCTGTTCAGGCTTTAACCCAGGAGGAACCCAGGCATATTCTTCCAAGGCACAGCCAGAATCATCATCAGAAGTCGAATTTCGCTGGAAGTCAAACATCAGCTTGGTCACAGTCTTCTCCATTTCCAAAGGCATTGCCGTTTCAAAATGCTCTGCCTGGGGACACTTGCAATGCCGGCAAATCTTTCTGAGGGAGGCAAGAAAATGCAAAGAGACAAAAGGTCACCCTCTGGTGTTAGAAGCCGAACTCTCTTCATCAACGGTAGCTGCATAACACCGGGATGACTGCATTGTTCCAAGCAAAGTGCCGTGGATTATACTAGCTTTAATTACTCCTACCCTTGGAAAAACTGTTACTAACAAGGATGGGTTGAGAAGGTTGATTTTTCTTTCCCTCCCTTTTTTGGGGGGGGGAGTGGATAAAGCAGCTGTTTGCAATAAGCTGGAATGCTATAAATGAAGTAGGTTGCCTAAGTGTAAACAATAACTGTCCTTGACAAAACACCGAGCACCCCAAAGCAGTTCTCTAAATCCAAAGGTGGTGGTTTCATCAGAGGGAGAACTATGGAACAGCAGACCACCCACACTGAGTCAGCCCTGAGGATTTAAAGGTCAAACACATTTGATAGATGAACTGGGATACACCTCTTCAGTCTCCTCTCCTTTGACAGCACCCCATAAATACACATATGGCACCAGATCCTCAGGATGTCCGAATCAGCGAGCTGCTGCGGGACTGCCATGTACAGTGTACTAGATGTCAAGGTAAACAGAAAGCCGAGCATGGCGAATTCCATTACAGTGACAGAACATCGCAAATAGGGTTGTCTTAAATGAGAAGAAGCCATGAAAAACATAATGATGGCAACTGCTGCCTTAAAATAAATTACTTCTAAGCCTGCCTTACAAACGGGAGGCCTGCACTCATAGGCAGCCCATGCTCTTTGCCACAAGCTGGATCTCCATGAAGGTTATTTTCAAGGAGAAGGAATCTGTCTGCTGGAATAATCAGGCTCTGCTTTCAGTGCTTGTCTCCATGGCTCCTTGAGGTGACTACGTCTGTGGCACATTCTGTTGCTTCTCTCCCCCTCCAACCCACCTATCTTTCAGTAGTCTGCTTAACACAGCGATATGTCGACTCAGCAGAGCGTCTATGTGAAGTGATGTAGTGAAAGGAAAGATCAGAACTCAATCCACATAAAAAGGAGTGGAGACAGTTCCCGTAGTGTCATGCAAGCAGACTGACAGAAAGAGAGCCCTCTGGAAGGAAGCACACAAACAGTATCTCCTTACATTTCTACTATTCATTTCCATTGGTATCTTTCAGTACCTGCAAAAACCCGCTGGGTTCTTCTGTGGCCTTTCTAAACCCTGCTAGTCCTCTTCTACTAAGTGTTGGGACAATTTTCACAGACCCAGTCATATTGAACATTTACTAAAGCAAACCCAACAAGGAGTCTTGTGGTGTCTCAAGAATTCCATATACAGTATTCTGGAAATTTCCAAGAGGCAGCCATGTTAGTTCATTCCAGCAAATCAACAAAGAATCTTGTACTGTAGTACCCTAAAGACCAATATTTTTTTACTTGACATAAGCTTCTGTGGACTGAACCCATTTATTTCTTCAAAAGTATCCTTCTAAAGGCACAAACACTGATAAATCAGACATTGTCCTGGAACACAGAACTGAATCAAAGATACAAAACCTACAGATGTTTTTGCTGACTTAAACTTCCATAGAAGAAAAAGCAATTATTTGGAAAAAGACACACACACACACACACACACACACACACACACACACATGCACGCACGCGCACACACACACACACACACACACACAGAGAGAGACAGAGAGAGAGAGACAGAGAGACAGAGAGAGAGAGAATGTTTTTAGATGGTATCATAGCAGTCATTCTCTTAGAACTGTGCATCTCAACCTTGGGTCCACAGATATTCTAGGACTACAAATCCCAGAAATCCTGGCCAGCACAGCTATTGTTAAAGGCTTCTGGGAATTTTAGTTCAAGAACATCTGGGTTACCCTTTGTTTGGAACCACTGTCTTCGATCGATCGATCGATCGATCTATCTATCTATCTATCTATCTATCTATCTATCTATCTATCTATCTATCTATCTATCTATCTATCTATCTATCTATTGGAATTTTGTCTTACTATAATTGATTAATCAATTAGATTTATGGTCCTGGAGTCCTTTATAGCAGTGGTCCCCAACCTCGGGCCGCCAGATGTTCTAGGACTACAACTCCCAGAAATCCTGGGCAGCAGAGGTGGTGGCAAAGGCTTCTGGGAGTTGTAGTCCAAGAACATCTGGAGGCCCAAGGTTGGGGACCACTGCTTTATAGCACAGTCCAGTTCCCATTTTGAGCAACAAAGTATAGGATAGCTCAGTGGTTTTTTTTGGCATCTGGCTGCAAAGCCAGAGGTTGGGAGTTTGATTCCCCACTGTGCCTTCTTGACAAGGGCTGGACTCAATGATCCATAAGATCCAGTTCTGCAGTCCTAGGATGATTTGGATGAAAGCAGTTCTGAGAATGTGTGAATGCCCCTTTCCTGACCACTGTACTGACACACAGCTCCTACACACTTAGGGCTGGGAGAATGGTTTACAGGCCCCTGCTCTCACAGAATATAGACTTCTACCGTTTGAAGCACCCGTTTCCAAGACGTCTTTAGGCATTCTTCTTCTTCTTCTTCTTCTTCTCTAAATCCAGTCATGCAAACTTTCCCAATTCATTTCATCCACCATTTCACATGGCCAAAGAATAAACTGACTCCGATCGCATACAAACCTCAACTTCCCTGCAGCCCACAGAGGACAAACATGCACTGAGCCAAAAGGCTTTACTAAGTTAAACCAGGGAGGGTTGCCAACTTTTCCCATTTCCTGCTTTTCATCAGATTTAAAATACACACAGATGCAAATCCAAGCTGGGTGTCTGGTTTGCATCTCATGAGTCAAAGAAAGCCTCCACACAGCCTCTGGCTGTTACCCTCAAAAACCAATCAGATCGCAATTTCATATGAATACTTTAATTAATCAGCTACTGTATGAAGGTCCCATGCTTTTCACTTCAGCAATGGCTTGAGGAGCCATTTCCACCTCTGCTCGTGACATAACGTTGAACCATTCAACAAGCCAATTAATTTATTACCCTCCACAGGAATTCATCATGTCTATCAGGCCACAAACCATCACCCCCAGCTCCAGAGCAGCCCCCTTGAATCCGGTGCCAGTGATTCAAGAAGTTCGTGGTTAGAGGAGCAGAGATTTAGTGTTTGAAAAATGGGTATTCTCACAGAGCTGTGTGCTATTTCACTAACCGTCATTCCCAGGATTATTAATCGCATGTCTCCCTACAGAATATGTCAGTGAGCGGTGAAAATATTTAATGCTTAGGGAAGTCATAAAATAAACTGTGGTACCAAGAGGCAAAGTGGAAAAGAAAACAACAGCAAATTTTTACAGAGAAAAACCAAGCTCAATAAGGATGTACTACTAGTGAATTTACTGTATACAGCAAATGCTACTCGCATTGTTATAGACAGTGAATAGTACAAGGGTCTCTGGGTCCTTTCTGACAGGACATGGGAGCTATACTGATGCAGCTCCTTCAAAGAGTCCATGGGGTATTGCAAGAAGTAGCCTCTGTCATTGTGGGAAAGAGGTGCTCCAGATTTCCGGAGTGGTAATGCTAGAGTGTGGAGAAGCTTCAGCACGGACTCCACATTTGTGGTTTGAGTCTTCTTGAGGTACCTGGTGATGTGGGGAAGGAGTGGTGCCTCATTGACTTTAATGCCATCAGCATAATGGAGAAAGAGAGACTTTGTGAACAAGGAATGGCCGGATCCCAAAAATGCTCCATGTTTTAGCTGAGGAGACCTGGGTTCAAATCGTTTCTCAGCTGCAGAGCAAAGACAGCAATCCTAAGTGGCCAAGTCAGCCAAGGGCCTTCTGAATCAACATCCAGCTATGAGGAATCCAAACCACTCCCAGCCCAGAGATACTGGGAATTATATAGGACTACCCTGTGCTTGGTCTGACTTTGTTCTTGTCTTGTGGCTTCGTTCCCTGGGCTGGATTAGATTTGTCATGACTCAGCTCCTTTCTCATCCTGCCCCCTTTTCTAGTCTAATTTCCCCCCTACACACACACACACACTCTTCTGTCAGTTTGCTCTGTCAGTAGATGCCTTGGTTTATCCGTCAGAACAGTATTCTTCCTGACAGAAGATTGATTTCTGCCTCATCCTCACTTCCTACAACAGAGACATTTTTTGAGGAAAGATTGCACTGAAAATGGACAGTATTCAGCCGGCAGTTCTTTAATTCTGACTTTATTTCATGTACTGTGCTTCCTGGTGGTCCATTAGATTACAACTTTAACCTATTTATAAATTTTCATGTGCTGTCAAGTCAATTCTGACTTCTGGCAACCCTTTTTAAGGGTTTTCCAGGTAGAGAGTACTCAGAAGTGGTTTACCATTCTCTTCTCTTGTGGGCGTTCTGAGACTATACAGCTTTGCCCAAGGCCATGCCGGCTGGCTCTGACTGTAAGAGGCACAGTGGGGAATCAAACTCCCAACTTATGGCTCTGCAGCCAGATACCTAACTTACTGAGTTACCCAGCCAGCAGTTGAAGCCAAAATTGGCGTGTTTAAAAAAACACAAAACACTGCAGTGATACACACACCATTACATACTAGTATTATTTAAATATAATAAAAGTTAAAAGAAAAAATATGAGGAAGTCTTTGTCATGGAGTGAAGCATCTTCACAAATAGGAATCCAGCTGATTTGCTGGTTCAAGGTCCCTGATGTAAACCGAATTGGAATTATGTTCCCAGAATTGCTAATGTCTCCTGCCTGCCAGGAGGCTTCTGCTTTTTTTGTTGTGGGATTTATTGCTGAACAGTTTTACAGTGGCGTCCTGTGTGCACAGTTGTACTGATACATTTCCCTGCAAGCTGCCTTGTGTTGCTTCTGCCAATGATGCTGTTTGCCTATACAGTATGTCCCTTTTAATAAAAAAAAAGTTTCGTGAGCAGAACGTTGATCTCATCCGCCTCTGTGCTTCACTTATTTGCAGATCTTTCCATTAGGTGGTGCTGTTTCCCCTGAACCCTTTCACATTTTCTTCTTGAGGACCTTATGGTAGAGC